TGCGAAGTACTCGTAAATGTAAGCCGGCATCATAATCGGGACTCCGAGCTGGTAAATTGTAGCCAGAGATGACCATTGTTCGACCCATGTCCTTCGAATCACCGTGTGGAGAAACAGCGAGGAGGTATACCAAGGAGAAATTGATCGAGTCGCCGATGAGCTTAGTCGCTAGATCGAAGACCTTTTGCATCCTCGGCCTAATCATTGACGTCGGATCATCAAACAAGCTGGGGCGTTTCGAAATCAAAGAGCTTTTGGATTTGGTTAAAGATTTGGATAATGAATTGGCTTGAGAAGGTGATCTGCGGATGCTCAAATTCCCTTGTCCCTGGTTAGGTTGCGGGTATGGATGATTAATCACTTCACTATCGTTTTCCCATGGTAGTGCTTCAGAATCCTCTTCCAAGGCTTCAACTTTTTGAAGGTCTTCCACAAAGGTCTTATGTGTTTCTTCAAGTCCTTCCACCTTAACAGCTAGTTTGCTCTGAAACCATTTCTCGATCTCACGCCGGGCATATTCTGCCATGTAAACAAGCTTCTTGCGTTCCTCGATGCCAAATTCTTCACGTGGCTTATCGTCGACAATGCATAAGGTACCTATCGGACAAGCTGCCTCGTCTGACTCTGGTGACCCATCAAGATTGGGCGCCAGGAGTGGTACACCTTCGAGGAATTTGCAGTTAATAAATCATTCGCAATTCATAACTCCTCAAGCCAAAAAATAGTCATACCTGAGTAGAACCGAGCACCAACGGATGAGACTAGCGGTGATGACGCGAACCTCCAATCTTTATGCGTATCCAGTATGGTAAATCCTTTACGTCCACTCAACACCGTGTGAGTACCTACAGAGCTGGACACATCAGATCATCAAAAGTACAAACAGCAAAAGAGATGGTGACTCACAAATGGTGGCTTCACGAGGAGCCTCTCTCATAGAAGGAAGACCAGACTCGGCCAGAAAGATCTGGCTATGTTCAGTCATGACCTATATCGATGCAGATTTACATGTGAGCGCCAAGTTAGGAAAAACTAGAGCAAAAGGGCTTACACTGAGCAAACTGATAGAAGCACCAAACGTTTCACGACATTGTCTGACAATCTTCCTGAAGACAGGATGATGTTCGAGTGTCTCCGGTGGGATTTTACTTGCTCTCAATGTATTCATCATTGCGCGAGTGGCTTCCTGACTCATATCCGAAGACGTTGTAGAACTTCGCTCCCATGCCTCTGAAAGAGTTTCGGGTACTTGACCTGATGCTTCAAGTGCTTCTGCTGCCATGTCTCGTTGGTGAGACCGTGCGGCTGCCTCATCCGATGAATCGAACCCCTTCCCAAACATGCCGAGACGATTGAGGACTAGCTGTCGGATTGGCTCGTCGTCAGCGAGAGGTGGGGCATAGCACTTGATTTCCCAGGGTGTTGGTGCATCTTTGTTTGGTTCGGTTGGGGGTGGCGGTGGGTCATTAATATCGATTTGTTCCTGTAAGACAAATAGGAATTAGACATGCGTCAGCCGCTGAACGTATAGTGGGGTGTGTAATAGCTATGTATACGGCGGAAAGGAAGCTGAACGAGACTCACCTTAGCATAGAGCTTGTGGTACTCTTCCCAAGTCTTAGGTATTTGGTCTGGAGGACTACGACTGTTGATGCGGCGTTTGACTTTCGCAGTAAGCTTCTTGATCCGAGTATTGGCACCCCTCGATTTGATACGCCAACTGGTAAATATTGAGCTACCCTTCTCGTCTGCACTCTGATGGTCATTTGTTTGATGATGTGAGACCACTTCGGTAGCGATCACTGTGCTGGATTTCTTGCTGCCTGCTTTTGGTATGAATGCTCGAAACGCGATCTCGCGAATCCTAGCAAAGCTTTTCTTCTTGGAAGGAAGCACACGTGGCGGTGGAAGTCTCGACTCTTCATCTTCGCTTTCACTCAATCCTGGGGAATCGTCCTCGAGCCATTGATTTGGTGAAGCCGAGGTATTGTTTTCGCCTTCGAGTGGGGCAGGAGGAGCTGGCTGGGGTGGAGCGACAACTTTCTCCCAGAAGTAACGAGACGGTCTTCGCTTTGTAGCATGTTTGTCAGGAACAACAAATAAAGCAGGATATGGGAGCCCAAGGCCGAATGGAGTTGCGATAATGTAGGACGGCATCCTAGCAAGTAACAGATAGGTTGCTGAGAATGAATGCGCGCGATTGGTGTTTAAGATTATTAAAGATTAGTAGTGAAGGGACGAAGGACAGGGACACACAACGATCTTAGCTCTTCAGAAGACTTTGTTTTAAATAGATCAAGCTTCTTGGAAGTTGACTTTTCAATCGAAATGAAGGAAATCTGAAATAAGTACATATGATCCAAGAAAGAAAGAGGCGCCAAACTGTAGAAGCCCCACTAGAAGCGGTCGATCTGGCGAGGTGCTGTGTACAGAATCAGATGACTGTCAAGCTCTGTCAACCCAATTGGAATTTGGCGAAGTGACAAGCAATTGGGTTTACTTACTTATGTAAATTGTAAAATCAATGTTTGGTCTCTACCAATTAAAAATCGGTGAAGATTTGATTTAAGCGCACGGTTTCTTTGTCGATTCTCAATGGAATATGTACTTCCGTCGTGCCACCTGCATTCTGCAGCAAGTTTGCAGAGCAAGTCCACACAGCAAAACCTCGAAAGAATTCAGTAGACAACAATCAATTCTTTCAAAATTACAACCCTACGGCCCAAGATCGAATGTTGAAGGGCAGCTGCACCGAGCTGCGCCCGTAGAATAGACGTGAGAGTTGACTTGACTCTTTGATTGATCATAGATATCATTCAGCCTACGCCCGGGGGTAAAAGTCACCGCGCGGGACCCGAAACCGATGTGTCTCAGAAACGTCTCATGATTTCAGTTGATCAGACGTTTTTGAAAGGTTTTCAGAAGGTATTTATTCAAATACGTGCCCTTCTACAACAGCTCTTCCTAAACTCAACTAAGTCCCTCGCTGAGTCTCGCACGCTTCGAGCGCAGCGAGGGACTTATGACTCCCAAGCACATTTTTGCCTGTGAGGGAAATGAAATTTGGCAGGGAAAAACTTCTCTCCTTATGAAATGTTTTCCCCTATTTGTGAAATTTCTTGGTCCAAAGAATTTTTTTCTTCGCCTACCTGAGCCGCTTCAATCTATCAAAAAAAAATCCGAGGAAATCAAGGAACCCTTCCTCTATGGGCTCCTGAAGTTTCACGTTTGAGGGTAATTTCTGGGACTTTGTCTTGTTTAAGCCGTCATATGTAATTGCTACAAGTGGATACAGTCGGAAATTACACCAAAAGCTGGAACTTGAGGAGCCCTTAGAGGAAGGGTTCCTCGGTTTCCTCGGTTTTTTTTTCGATGGTTCAAAGGGCCTCATAGAGGCAAACAGATTATTTCTTTGGCTCAAGGATTTTCACAAATAGATGAAAAAGATTTATAAGGACACCAATTTCCACCAGCCAAAAAGCAATCCCCTCACAGGCGAAAATGTGCTTGGGAGTCATAAGTCCCTCGCTGCGCTCGAAGCGTGCGAGACTCAGCGAGGGACTTAGTTGAGTTTAAGCTCTTCCAGGTAGGCCCTCGCCCCGGTCGATCCCCGTCCCCTAATTAGGGGACGAGGAATGATCCCCGAATTAGGGGACGGGCAATGATCCCCTTCCCCTAATTAGGTTAGGGGAACAATCCCCGTCCCCGAATTTGGAGACGGGGAATGACATCGGTATTTTCGGGGAATATCGCCCTTTTGCAAATACAAAAACGAACGATTAGACCGTTCACGGTAGACCACAAAGGAATCAAGGACCTTCAACAACGATACTTAACAAAATCTCAAGGTTATTCCAATCAATGTCGAGTCGATGGGATCAATGGAAGTTTGAAAGTAAGGTTCAATTGTGATCAGGTCTTTCATGAAGAATCCTACAAACATCTGAGCTAATCATTTTATCATCGGTTCTTTATCATTGCTTCTATTTCAAGTTTTAGATTCCTTTAAACGGATCTTGATTCTTCATGTCATTCAGATGTTTGGAAATTATAATTTATAACGTACAAAAAGAGTAATTTGAAAGAGAAGTGATACTTAAAAGTTGAAACTTTTCAATTTGTTTAATTTTTGTTGTCTTTCAATGCAATGAGTGCCAATGACACCATCAAATCAGTTTCTTCAAAGTGGTTCAACTCATCCAAACAAACTAAGACTGTTGAAATAAATACACACTAAATCAATTGAAAGAATAAAGACCAAGATGTATTTTAATCAGGAATCGAGAGGATTTTTGAGAACGATTTTCAGCTTCAATTTCAATTTCAATATCAGTTTCAATTTCAGTTTCAATTTCTTCTTGAGATTCATCTTGAGAATGTTTATGTTCTTCTTCTTGTGCTGGTTAATTTTGATTTGGAAATGAGGTTGAAGTAATTTGATCAGTTCTAGTTTTGATAGTTGTACTTCGAGATCTTCTTCTAAACTTTGATCGATGTGATTTGAATTCGACATTACTTCCTGAGCTCGTCATCCTTTGGGAGTCGTTCGAAGACTCTTCGGCCTACGATTTCTCAAGATTGATTCGCAGAATCCCCGGCATTCCCCGTCCCCGTCCCCGAATTTCCCCGAATTCGAGGAACAGAAACGATCCTCGAATTCGGGGACGGGGATAGGGGATCTCCGAATGAATCGGGGACGGGGCGAGGGCCTACTTCCAGGAATTAAGGAAATGTTTTGATACAGTGACACTCACAAAACTAAGAGCATCTCCAACGCGCCTGAATCTGAATGACTCATACAGGTAATTTATTTCTTCGGCTGGACAGCTGTATTTCTTTTTCAGCAACATGTCAGGACAGGTCCTTCCAGCGCACAATCTGAACTTCATTCTCAATTCCTCTTGAGGTTCAACTCACGCTCACACCCGGTGCCATGATGCCACGTGGTGCCACGGCTTCGGGCACGGCGAGGCCTAGGGCTTATGCCATGCCCCAGCCCTCGCCCTAAAGCCCTCCAGGGCGCCTCATAGCTATCGATCCTATTCCCAATATCAAAAATGGACTCTCGCTTTCGGAGAACCTCGTAACTCGTCAGGCATTTTGAAAGGCATCCTTATCTTGATATTCAGTTGATGTTCGATACCATATAACCACCTGCATATAAATAAACCAATTACCTAAAATTTCTTAGAACGATTGCAATCTTTTTAAACTTACACCACGGGGCAATTGTTGAGCCAAAAGCTGAGCTCAAAAGTGGTCGTGTCCAAAAACCGGTCAAACGCTGGCCAAAAGCTGAAGTTTTGATCAGATCTTGGCCGTCGGGTGAGACCAGCTGTTTTCTGGCCAAAACCTGAGCTTTTGGCTTGAAAAAGGCCGGTCGGTTGGCTGGTTGATCTGGCCGTAAATCAATCAGCCTTACGGCTGTCAAAAAATGGCCAAAAACTGAGCTTCCGGCCAGCTTTTCAAATGTTCAAAAAGCTGGCCTTGAGACGGTCAAACAGACGGCCAAAAGATGGGTATGGAGTCGAGTGGGCTCCACACGATTCAAATAAGTTTGAATCGCTTGTCACTGCAAGATGTCACAAGTTAATGACAATATAAGGTAAAGTCTGTGATAAACTTCATGGTAAAGACCTTATCCAGATTCCTTTTGACCACCATCATCAATCAACATCGCCAGCCTTCACTCCATCTTTCTCAAGACTCTTACATCAACACAGAGAGGTCCAATTCCTTATCCAACTTGTGGAAGCAAATGCTTTCAACCCACCAGCGGGTTTAATCAAACCAGTTTCTCGAGTTCAACTTTGTTAAGTTTAACATCCTCAAGGATGCTTGTTTGGTCATCAATGTAAGTAATCTTTATATCTTTTATTCATCTTTTCAACTGGATCATTTTGTACACAGAGTATAGCTTCTTCATCATTGCCTCGGCTTCATCTTCAACCAATGAAAGCAGCTTTTCTTGAGGTTGCTACCACAGGACTAGGTAGTTCTTCGATCTACAAGATTACCAATACTCAACTTGGCCAATTGTGATTGAAAGGATCTGGTTATATCGAAGCGTGAGTAGTCTTATGTCACTTCCTGGTGCTGCCTTATCCCAACATCCAACTACAGATGGTCGGAAAACATTTACATAACGTTCAGTGTCCCAATATTTATACACATCCTTATCACTCTAAATATGTACTTTTTGAAAAACCTTTTATTATCTTTTTGTAATCTATGAGCGTTACAAGATGTAATATTACAATTTTAATTGATTCGATCGAATCCAAAAGCGAGCAACCGGAGCGGATATGGGCTATCAGACCCTAGCCGGTGATCCACAAAGACCGGCTAGAGACCTTGAATCGACCAGCCGTCTGCTGGTCGATCGACCTATCAAGAGCTGGCTTGAGCGATCTGGACAAGCTCAAAGCCGGCCGCTTGATAGGTCAACGATTGCCGTTTGCCCAGATGCCGGCCGCCAGCAAAGCTCAGCTGAAAGACCGCCTTTCCACTGACCAGCTTTCGGCGGCCGGCCACCACCAAGCGAATCTGGGCTTTTGGCGGTCTTTTCTGACCGTCAAACGGCGAGCCCAATTGCCCCGTGGTGTAGGATCTAAGATATGATTAGATTTGATTTCTTGACCGATCAATTCAATTGATTCTCATTCACCAGCTAAACCTAAACTGCTGAGTTGCATTAGATTTTGAAATCAATCTGAAGTGTTCATGATATTATCACTGTTAATCGAAGTGGATTTTGGTGTAAAATGAGTTTGATTGTGTTGGCAAATGTAAAGTTGAACATGTTTGATAACGTGTTTTGGGTCAATTTGGTTTTAAATTATGGGTATTTTTTGGTTTCTGTCAGTTGAAATGAAAAAGGCCAACTTGCAAGTTGAACTTTAAGTGATGAGTGAATTTGATTTGATTTGAGGTCAAAAGCTTTCAAATCACAATTCAATTGACAATCTTTCCAAATAAAAGCTCTTTTGGGCCTTGGTATGTTAACAAACGAAAATGCAGTCAACTTTGCAATAGCGAGCAAATTTTGTAGTTATGTATGTACATGAGAAGGCAGAATATGACCTGAGCACAAGTAGTATATTCTAGGACAAGTTGAACGGTTTGATTCAAGAACGAGATGAACGGACCAATCCAAACATCACTGTTTAAAAAATTGATTCAGTGGAGAATTGGAAAGCGGTGGAAGAAAATATAATGTTGATAATGAGGAAGAACAAGGATGAAT